CTGTGTGACTACTTTCTCTCTTTCCTACTTCTAACCGAAAAGTCAAAATGGTCAGTGCAAACGAGCTGCAAAACCCCTCGGTCCTTTGGAGCTGTCAGCCCTGGCTAACCAGTCGCACTCTTCCCTTGCAGGAGCAGTTCTTGCAGGAAAGAATCAAGGTTAATGGCAAAGCTGGTAACTTGGGTGGGGGTGTGGTGACCATCGAGAGGAGCAAGAGCAAGATCACTGTTACTTCAGAGGTTCCGTTTTCAAAGAGGTAAGGACACGGGGCACCCGCAGGCGGTTCGGACAGGGCAGGCTGGCAGCGCAGCCTGTTTCTCTGGAGCGCTGCTGCAGTCCTCCGCTAGCAGCGGGGTGAATCACCGTCACGTGGCATGCTTCAGTGTTTGTGTGAAGTTGCAGGCAGCTGCTCAGGATGTTGCCCCTCATGGCAGTAGTGGCTGCTGACATCAGGTAGCCCTGTTCTTGCAGTCTCAGCAATGGATCTGTGGTGTTAAAACGGTGCCCTTGACGTCAGACTTGGGTCTGGCTGTTAGGAGGGTGTTGTGAAAGGTGCGCTGGGATGTCTGCTGTTTATCTGGTCTTTTCTTTGGATACGAAGACTTCTGGGCCGCTGTTTATGATAGCCGGTGAAGCTAGCTACACGAGTGCTCCCCCGCCTGCTTTTTGATGACACGCGTTGCTAGAAGGTAGTTCATTTTCTCCAAGTTGTGGTGCTTGGTAAGAATAAGCTTCTAAGACAGCATCTTTCAATACTAGTTCCCAGGGCCACAAGACAGGAAGCTCTTCCGTAAAATCCTAATGCATGGGGAAACACTGGAGCTAATGAAAAGATGTCTTGGCACATAAGTTGTACCAAGTCCTGCTGACTTCAAAGTATACTGCTTGAGAAATGGGACATGGTGACTATTTGTTTCTAAGTGATCTTTAAGAAGGGTACGTGGTTGAAAATCTTTCTTGGAAGGCAACCTGAGTTGAAAAGCAGTGGAGGATCTACCCCTCCTGCAAAGATGCCAAATGTGGAATTTTAGAGACTGATAAACAGCCAAACTCTTCCACTACTGTAGTGTTACCTTTATCCTGCTGGACTTCTGCCATTTGCCCAGTTCTTATGTTTGCCTAATATCTCTGCCCTTGATTTGGCTTTGATGAATTCAGTTTTATGCTGTAGATTACTTTCCTGTAAAATTGTTTACATCTCCAAATCTAAATCACAGCTAGCTCCTCTGGAGAGTAAATGCAGGTTATCTGTTTTTTATCAAATCAAGCATTTTTTGGTTTTGATTTATGTGTATTAAGTGAGGCTAAAGGTGGGTTTTACAATGATGTCTTCGATCAGTATTATGAATAAAAAAGTCTATTGGGCATTGCTACATAAATCATGCAGCCAAAATGAATTGGCAAAGCCACGTCATGTTTTTAGTTTAAAAAAAAAAAAAAAAAATCCTGACTCTAGCTTGCAATATATTTCCCTTAAAAATCATGCTTAAAAAGCAGCCTGACCATTTTGGCATTCAGTAGTTATTCTGTTTAACCTGGTCTGCTGGGTTCAGTGACTTGACTGTGTTCGCAGCATTATCCTCCACTGCAGCTGCTTGGCACTCTTAGATGCGGACTTCTGTTCCGGCTCATGTCAGAGGATATGTGTCTTGGAGTTTTTAAGGAATTAAGAGATGTGCGTCTGCCATTTCTTAATGAACTGATGCTTTTCTTCAGCTTTTGTTGTTGCTGGGACTTATGTACCCGCTAGTAGTTTAGTCTTCACGTGCCAAAGTTTGAGGTTTTAGGTTTGAATCATAATCGAGTAACGACTGCTGTGTGTTGGGAATCAGTTGCTAATATCGGCCCTACCTTTGGAAAGATAAGTTTGTTCTGCATGTTCCTGTTTTCCCAGTCAGCTGTCTGCAATCTTTCTAAAAAGAAAGGTTAGGTTAAGAGAACTCTGAATACTTGTGAACTATACCAAAACCTAAATGTTTTGGCCAAACATTCAACAGAATTTGGCCCACCTTCTGTGGGCAAGAGGTTTGAGCACTCTCAAATTATCCCCCCGCCTCAGTTCTGGGATTGCAAACTACACTTGAAAGTCTGTAACTTGCTGTCTTACATAGATTGCATAAATATATTGATATACACTTTCTCCAGATTACTTTTCAGCAGTGGCGACTGCAAGCATGGCAGCTGGAGATGTAAAATGATGGAAAGTGTAAACGGCACACATTGGCACCAGCTGGGTTTGCTTGCTTGCAATCCCGCAGCCTCCGATTGCCACGCTTGGGAAGCGTAAGCGCTTTGGCCCGAGCGGTTCTCTTTGCATCGGTGTGGGATCTGGCACGCTCCGGGCAGTGCTGTGGAAAGCGCGCAAGGAGGTGAAAGACGGCCAGCTACTATACTATCCTGGCGGTGTTAGCGCCGCGTTGACCTGGGGCTTATTTGGTGCTGTGGAAACGCAGTTGGTGCCTCGCTCTGTTTGCATAGTAGCAAGCTTGGCCTCGGAGGGTGAAGAGGGAACGCAGCTCCCTAGCCTTGGGTCTCGGGTGCTGGTGGTACCTCCGGCAAGGGGCAACGTGTAGCTGACAGCGCTGTTCCCGAGCACCAGCGTCTCCTGGCCGACGCCGCTCTGGGATGCGTCGCTCCGCTGTTGGAGGAAGTTGTCCTGGGTGGGGCCTGCGCGGTTTAGCCTGTGGTGTCCGATGTTGGGAATTGTTCTCGGTGCACGTGGGATTCGGCTTGTGTGCACTTCCCGTGCGAGCTGGAGCTGAAGAGGAGCGTCCTCAGAAAGGGCTTATGAAGCGCTGCTAGACGAAAACGCGGAAGTGCTTTGAACCCACGCGCTTCCTTTGCGCTTCGGCGAGCGAGGCGCGCTCGTGCCACCCGGATCGCCGGCCCCTTCCCGGGCCGGGAGCGGGGAGAGGCCGCGGGGCTGGGCGGCG